TAACCTAATTAACCTCTTATTCTCCGGCCATGTATGAAGTTATGATACTTGATCCAATTACTATTATTATTATGAGTTTAAGTCATTAAATTAAATTAATGTACTAGCTAAAAATTTAAAATATTACTTGGACTCTAAGATCTTACTATCTATGTTAAGATCCATCAAGCCCTTACTGATCCACGTTAGGATTTCAAGTTTAATTGCCATGATGCTGTGAGTTAGGATATTTATAATTCGATTGAATTTGTTTGGCCTAGACTGAATAGGGTCGGTTCAGTATAGTAGATGTCTATTTTATGTGTAATTACCACTGTTTGAGCTTGGTGTAGTTGTGTTTTGATCTGTTTAAGTCCGGTCTTGTTTGGTTTGAGATTGAAATTAGTTCATTTAAAAACATTCTAATGTTTTATTATCTTCTTTTACTTATAGCGCAAGCCTAAATCTCCCATCGAAGTAGAATTGTTAGCCCTTTCAGAAGAGTTTGGAAGAGACCTTCGAGAATTAGGTAAAAAATATCTTGGCATGAAGGACCACAGTTATGGTCCTGAATTAGTTAAGCTCTATAGAGAGTACGATCGTAAAGTATTGCTATTGGAGAAGGCTCTCTTTGAAGAGGAAGAGGAAGATATGTTGAACTTGTAATGTGGAAGTGGCGTCACATACACTACAATTAGGGATGGATATGGACTAGGTATAAAAGGCGGGGGCCGTTTGAATATGTTTCGATTTGACTAAAGCATAGCTTATTAACTATTAAATGCATGTTTTTCGTCGAAGTCCGGATTGTTTTTTTTTTCTTTTGTCATCAACTCCAATAAATCTTATTAACTCAACAAGTCATTAGCCAAATGGCTAGCAATACAAATAGGTAACACATTAATTTTCATTTGAATGGGAAAAAATATTATGACTCGTTTTAGTACAAACTATTTTTCGACTGTCAAGTTAAGAAAGTCTTATCGTAAGTGGTAAAAAATAAATGTAAACATATAAATGATAAAAGCGCAATAATATTTCTAAAAGTGCAATGTAGTACTTCTAGGTATGCAATTTTACAGTATAATAATTACATTAGAGATATGTTCCAATAAGAAAATTACATTAGAGATAAAAGTGCATAATTTTGCTGATATGGGTGTACGTACTACATACTTAAGTTGCACATTTATTCATTTTAATATAAAGATTGAAACTATATTATGACTCATATCTGAACGAGTTTCTTTTAACGAACTAAACCACTAGATCACATATATATTGTTAAAACATTTATATCATAAAGTGCATAATATTTAGTTTAAGAATAAACGTGTAGATACAAATCATAAAAGTGACCAAAAATATTTTAAAAGTGCATATTTATTTCTTTTAGACATGTAAGTGCACAACTGTATAATTAAAGATAAAAGTGCATAACTTTGCAATATCAGTGCACAACTAAAATAATATATATGCATATTTTGGAGAAAATATTACCACTTACGATAAGAATTTCTACGAATTAAATGACCCACTTAAAAATGAGTTTTTTATGAACTAAACTAGATCACATAATATATTGCTAAAACATTTATACTATAAAAGGCACATGCAATAGTTTTGTTATGAATAAATGTGCATATATAGATAATAAAAGTGATCAAAAATATTTTTAAAAATTATATAGTTAAAAATATTTGCTTTTAGATATAAAAGGGGCGAGCCATCCGTTAAAAGATCCCGAAAAACGTGGACTGGCGGATTCAAACTACGAACTTGAGTGACAAGTTGAGCTAGATTATTAATTTATTATCATTACTTTTAAAGACTTCACAAAAAAAGTCATTTATAGTATAAATGATTTGTTATAGATTATCCGGGAAATTCCATTCGAACTTATTAAAAGTTCGTATGACAAACAAATCATTAAATGAAATATTTTAATTGTGAGTTTAAAAATTTTGCACTTTTATTGTGATCGAATTAAAAGTTCCAAAAAAAACAAACAAATCATTAAATGAAATATTTTAATAATTTAGAATCAAAAGCAATGATAATCTATAAATGACAAATCATATATAAAAGTGCAAAATTATATTATCCGGGAAATTCCATTCGAACTTCCTTTTTTTTTTATTTTCCAGAACACTTTTTGGCTAGATTTTTGGTAAAATGGAATGATTTTTGAATGTTTTTGGGAGGATTTCTCACTTGATTATGCTCAAACTCTCGATGAAAGCACCATTTGATAGAGTATTTAATTCTAGAGAGGTGAGAGCTAGAGAGAGAAAGTAAGTACTTATATATCTCAACCCCTATAATTAGTCCTTGGGGTTTATTTATAGGTAAAAAAGTGGATTCCGGGCCCCTAGCCTTGGGCTTATGAGGCCCATTACAATAATCATGCCTTCTATGGGCGAATAGAGGCACTAATGGGCTGAGTACAACACTTAGTAAATAAAATAGGGGAATATATTCTGCCAGGACGAAGTCTGGCCGATGCGGCACACTTTGGCCGATGCGGTCCATAGCCGATGCCTTTAGGAGCCCGGGTGATATCCTCTTCCTTGGCCGTTGTGGGCCTCTGGCCGATGCGTGCCACGTGGGTGCCCTGCTGGCGTCCTTTGGGCCGTTGAGTATGTGGGCCATGGGGTCGAGGCCCATATACTCTATCACTCAGTTTTACCATGAAGCATTAGGAGGGCTGTGCCATATCTTCCCTTTCATACAACCAGTTTCATACCATAGGATTTCAAAAAAAAAAGCAACATGTGAAAGAGACACAATTTGTTATTTCCTGGGCATTCAAGTCTTCAAGATACAAAGTTAGTCTAGACAATAGTCACAAGTTCGCGAGTTAAGAAATACGAATATCTTTTAAATTCTTGACTCGCAAAGGTGGGGAGCAAAGCATAGACCCTTGATCACATTTATAAAAACCTTTGAGTAAACTGCGATAATCTCCCAATTACCAATACCAATGGTGATGATCTCCGGCTGCAACATTTGATTGAGGTTTGTTCCCATAGGATTTTCTCGGCCATAACCATATTACTGACCGAGGTATCGAAAAGGCACCTCGGCTTGGAAAGAGAACCACTCCTCTCTATATGAGGACACAGTCGACCTAGAGGAAGTAGGGGACTCCGCCTCAGCAACACATCCAAGGACGAGGATGACGAGGTACAGACAAGAACCACTACCTTTAAAATATGAGCCTGAAACCACGGGCCACACACTCACAACACACCCCCAACCCGACTGAAATATACGCCAGGAACAACCTCAACCTAGGCGCCTTCCTAGTTGAAGATGTTTTTATTAGCCTACATGTCGTCTCCGCATATGCACAAGACCTTTGCACATAGAATGCAACACGTGTATAGTGCATTAAATGCCTCTCATTTATTGCAACTATAAATACCCTCACTTTGATAGTGAACATTCAATATTACATATTATCACTTTCTTTTTAATTTTTTACTTAACTCTACTTTCTCTCTATAATACATTAGCAGTTTACCGTATAATTATCATTTAGTGTTTTCATTAAGAGATGAAATAATGAAAGCACAATTAAAAAGCACTTTTTTAAAAGTAGAAGCTGTTGCAAACAGACCCTAACACACCTTCAAACGAAATGGGACACAAGATGCTCCATGCAACCCAATCCCACTCGGGCCACTCGATCATTGCAGGAGAAGTCTAGAGAAACCATGACATTGTCCAGGGCCACAAGGATAGCTAGGGAGGGGCCGTCCTCTATGAGGTAGACCAGATCATCTATCTTCGAAATCAAATCCAACACACCACACAATTGACATTTGGCCAACACTGAACATCATAAGAAAAGATAAGATGCTGAGTCATCCCACTCTAGCCTAATTCAGACATTGTGCACTACCGGGAGAAAAACAAACTCTGATTCGTCAAAATTGAAAGTGATCAAATCTTCACCTATATTACGTTGGAAAATGTGTTAATAAATTGCATTAAATGGTCATTTTGGGGAAATTTTTTGAGTGGAGTCCACTTCCGATTTGGATCGGGTCAAAGTGGGTTCGGATTGTCTTTTCTTAAGACTGCAATTCGATATATGATACGCTCAAAACGGATAACAGGTGAATTAGAAATTAATTATTGAAGTTCACTCGTTGAAATGGAAAAAACTAGTGTGGTTATCTATCTTCTAAAGATAACATTAATTTTTGTTCTTCATTTACGTACCTGTTTTTTTCTCCAACGTTCATATTGCAAATTCTACCCTATAAAAGGGTAGCAGATGCTTTGCAAAAAGATATCATTCATACACGAAATCCACATTTCTCTAACTCGAAAACACTCCAGCTTTCTCCGATCCTTTGTGTTCTTGCTTAGTTCTTGTTTGCTGGAACTATTCGGTTAAGTGCTTAATGAATAGCTCGTAATCGTATACTCGGAAACAGTCATTAAATTACAACGCTCCTACCACCCTAAGGGGCAACTAATACGTTTTAAGGACATCATGCGTAGCACGAGCTTTGATTATTTTCTGCTTCATCTATTTCCTGTTTTCGTTTAGTCATTTTATTTAATTAATTTTTGTTAATTAATTTTCTTTTTTTTTTTTCGAAACACACCCAACATATTATTCCTCATTGTTAATAAAATTCTTTTTCGAATCATGAATAAATTGAGCACTCAATAACGATCTCACAAACATCAAACATATTCCGAATATACGTAGTAATAAATAGATGATCTTGATTGTGATTTTAGCAAATATGAAAACAATCATGACATCAAAAATTTATTTCAACTTCTATAGAGCAAAATCAATAGCACATGCATCCACGTCCAGCCTTTCCGAGGTGCCGGGATTGGTATTTCCGTATTTCTTGAAGGTATTTCCGTATATCTAATCTTTCCTATCTCATAAATTCTTCTAAACATTTTTTTTTCTAAACATTTTTATCATAAATTTAACAAGTAACATATCATGTGTCCCATCCAATAATCAAATCTCGATACTAATGTGTCAAATTTTTATTAAAACAAAACGTTGAAGTAGACATCTTAAATTCTTAATGGAGTCCTTTGCAAGGGAAGCAAGTTTAACAAATCGCATGACTGACCAAAAGTCATTACCATAAATAGTGTTTCTGATTCTCTTCTACATCAGACCAGATAGCACCGAGGACCACCTTGAGATCGATGAAAGAGTGACACCAAAATCTCCATGAAATTTAGATTTTCGATTGGCCAATTGTGAAGAGCCACGCACCCCCACCTTGCTCTAAAACGATGCAGAGATGGATCCATCTTAAAATGCTCTATCGAATAATCTTATAGGTCAAAAGTCAAAATTAATGGCATTGAAGAGCGATTTTAATCAGTAACAGAACGACTGCTAAAATCCACACAAAATAAGAAAAAAAAAAGACCAAAATTCAGCCTATTGAAACAGGTTTCCAAGACCGAAGTTAGAACCTCCAATTCCCAACATTCCGACCTCCGCTGAGGTGGCAGCGCCGCCCCCATAAATATCATGCGATTCAGATGAAGCTGCAACTATGGGTGGCGACGTGGCGGTGTTGAATTGTTCGGAGCGGTTTACAGCTTTCCCGGAGCTCTCGCCTGGATCCAGCCCCTGGTCGTAGAGGAACCCTTTGAATACGTGGCCGCCGATTCTCACCACCGCCTGGAAAGCGTATTCGTCGTCCTCTCCGCCGTCCAAGGGACTCACCCTAACGCACCGGAACTCCGCCGGAGCTGTCACCTGCTTCGGCATAGAACCGCCGCCGCTGTCTCCCGTGGTGGCAGTCGCCGCCGTGTTGTTCGACGTTGAAGTGTGCGATGTTTGGGATTGGTTACCGAGGACAAGCCTGGGTTTCTTCGCGCCGGAAGAAGCAGACTGCGAGCAAGATGCCGTCACGGCGGAGTTGGAATAGAGGTGGCGCTCGCGGCGGCGAGCGGCGGGAACCCACGTGCTCTTCACGTGGGTGGAACAGGGCAGCCCTCGATTCTTGCAGCAAGTCCTGCACCTCTGGTGGATGCAGTCCTTTTTGGCCTGGTTTCCGCAGTCTTGGCAAGTGGCCGCCGCCGCAGATGATGAAAATCCGACACACTCAATCCCATTTCCGCCGCCGTGGACCGGAGGAAATTCTTGACGGTCAACGCAAGTGCTTCCGTGGGTCTGCTCCAGCTCAACTCCTGCTTCGTTCGCCTTCTTGGTATAATCGTTATCTGTAACACTAGCCCTTGGAGAGTTATATCCCTCCGCCGCATCAGCCGCCGCAGCTGCGGCGGCGTGTTGGTTCTGCCACAACTGAAATCCACCTCCATTTCCGCGTCCTCTGTTGCAGGTGTTCACAAACAAGTCATCGGCGGCCAAAGGGATCACACCCACCCCGACGCCGAGAGCAGGGGTGGATCCGCCGTCGAAGCCGATGAAACCGGAGGGGCTCTGGCTGTGATAATGTTGGGGTTGACCACCGTTGAACCCGCTGTGGTGGTGGAGGAAAGTGGCTGCCGGCGCCACCACAAACATACCCATATCCGGCGACAACCCATTGTTGATCTGCATCTGCCTAGCGGCAGAGGAGCTCCACTGCCCATCATGGGCGGCTGCCGCGCTGCCACCGTCGACGGCGGCGCTGACAGAATCTTGAGCGGCATTAAAACCCAAAGAAAGGTCCCCAAAAGCTGCGGCGGCAGAGGAATGAGAGGCAGAGGAAGACGCCACAGCCCAGTCTGCTATATTGCTATCTCCAGGTTGCAAGAACAGCAGCCGCCTAGCAGTAGCCACAACTGCAGATTCTGTGATTCCAAAAACAAATTCAAAAAAAGGAAATCAACTTTCAAGTACTGTAATTATTGGGTGTTCAAGAATGATGAAAACCCAAAGATCATTGGGGTCTACATGAAACTGAAAGGTAAATTTTTATAATAGAACAAACAAAATCATGAACGTGTAACTAATCACTCACCGTAGATCAATGGGATGAATGACAAAACACGAGCTTTTTTAGGGGGTTCCGTGCCTTCTCCTCCAATGACCTATAGCCTAGGCCCTAGAATATACTGCTCAACTTTATTGACCATGTCGTTTATACTATTAGAGCCCGTTTGGAGAACTCTGTTTTCGGCTTATCAGGCTTATCAGCCAGCTTTTTTACCAAACACGTAACTTTTACTTTCGCGCGCTGAATTGTGTAATAAGCCGAAAAAGTAAGGTTGGAGTTACTTTTCTGGCTGTATTGGCTGAAGTTACTGTAGAGGATCATTTTAACTATTTTTACATATAATTTTTTCTTTAATTTATTAATAAAATATATTTTTAAAATATTTTTTTCTTAAATCAGCAGAATCAGCCAAAACAGCCACTCCAGCCACAATATCATAAATTTCAGCAGAATCAGCCAAAACAGCCGATTTTGGTGCTACCAAACGGGCTCTTAATGAAAATACCATTTCAAGTTCATTTGAATGAAAGACAGTTTTTTGAAAGGGATAAGGGTCATATAGGGCCCCGAACTCGAAAAAAAATGTCAAATAAGGTCATATTTCGGATGCTCTGTCTGGCCGACGCCATTTGGGGCGGTTCCCGATGGAATTTTTTGATGAAATTTTTTGAGCATCTTCCTCATTAAGTCTAGTTTACCCATACCAAATTTCAGCTAAAAATTCAACCGGGAAGGTAGTCAAATAATTTTCCGAAATGTACGGCGTTGTTTAACTTCACAGTTATCTTCAAAAACTCATTTGACTACCTTCTCGGTTGAGTTTTTAGCTGAAATTTGGTATGGGTAAACTAGACTTAATGAGGAAGATGCTCAAAAAATTTCATCAAAAAATTCCATCGGGAACCGCCCCAAATGGCGTCGGCCAGACAGAGCATCCGAAATATGACCTTATTTGACATTTTTTTTCGAGTTCGAGGCCCTATCTGACCCTTATCCCTTTTTGAAATGATGAAACAGTGGTGAAATGTGGAGAATTTGTGAATTGATTAACTTCGGTGTCCGATAGGGATAGGGATGACAACGAGGCGGATCTGGAACGGTTTTACATATAACCGTACTCGCCTCATTGGATAATTTCCCGTCCCGTAACCGTCTCATTACCCAACGAGTAATTTTTATTCAAACCATAACCGTCCCAACGGGTAAATTTTGTTGGAATTATTTAGAATATTTCAAATAAATATTTTTTATTTATTTAATTACTCCGTATCTAATTTGCTAATGACCGAGCGCTTAATTGACCAAGTGGGTTCTCAACTATTTTCTAAACGTGCATGTTACGTTGGTTGACGGAGTTATACTTGGCTGAGCTTTTTCCTCTCCATATTTTTAGGATCAATAACAATAATATTATTGTTCCATCCTTTTCTAAAATCTTATAAACACCAATGATGGTTAGGGTATTTATGGTATGAAAAAAATGTTGGTGTAACTTGATTGTTAGGCAAGGTGGTACTTCTAGATGTAGAAGTTGTACATCTATGCATATTGGACTTGCTCCGTTAACCGCAGTTAAATTTGTGACTCATTTAGAATAGTCTTTAACACTCCGTATACAATGAGTAGTTCAGTGAGGGAATAATAAACGTGGGTTACTAATTAACAGAAACGACTGGTCTTCCAAACTGGAGACACGGAATTCATTCAGCTGACTTACCGAGCCAAGGTATCTGGTAGCCTTTTCAGGTGATAAACTTTACGTTAGAATATCGTAAGAAGCTAAGGGTAGAATGTGATTGATCCCTCACTTTCGCTCTCACAATCCTTCTTTTACACGCCGAAGTCTCATCAAGCATGTACGAAGTAGAAGGAAAACTTCTACTTTATTGATCATGAATTAATATTTCGCTATTTAAATTAATTAAACTGGCACTAACCAGTGTGGTTTGTCTGTGAGTAGTTGAACGGATAAAGTATGCTTGTACTGGAAGGATTAAGCTCAAGGCTCTTGAATAATCTCCCGCCAGATCTGATCTTTACACGCTTGGTTGCCAGTGTTTTTTGTTCAGAGTATTAGAAGACTCTTTTATCCTTCAGGTGTGCGAGCTATGTTTCCTCTATAACTATGTTGTTTAAATTATTTTCGTTGATCATTACGAGTTTAGGCGGCTGATGACTACATTTGAGTGGACAAAATTCGAAGTGACAATGAATAACGCAGTATTTAATCATTGCTTCATTATTTGTTAATACTTAAACTCACTTTTTTAGGGTCTCAACAGAGGTCACATTTCTGGATTACTCCCTTCCAGAACAAACCAGAACTCTTTTAAGCTCTTCACCTTATCACCTCGTAATAAAACATGGTATCTTTGTTCTATCTCTTAGTCCCGCATGCTTTCTTTTCTTTTGGTGATATGAACATTAGATTCAATTCCCACAGAGTGAAGATTGTTATAGATTGGTTGCTAAATTTAGATTATGCTCATAAGGTGTTTGATGATGAATTCCTGTTTTGATTGGTTTTAGTTCTATTTCTTTGTGTCAAAATTGTAAGCTTTCTTGAAAATTGGCCCATGGAAATGCATTTTTGGCAATCTCATTTATATGAAGAAGGAAACTGATAGAAATGTAGTATTCCGTTTTGCATGAGACGTGGCTAAGGATGTTTTCTTTTAGACTGTTTTCAGTCCCAGACCAGACCAGGCAAGATGAGACCAGACCAGACTAGATCAGACCAGACCAGACCAGATTTCCGTAGTTATAAAATACACAAAGACTGGACGTTTACCAGACCAGTTCAGACCAGATCAGATCAGACCAGACTAGACCAGACCAGACCAGCAAATTTCAGTTGAAAAGAAAACATCCTAATTAATTAAGAATCTGTTCTTCCATTTTGAGTGTTCTCTTTTTGTCCGTAACAGTTCATTTTATGGATAGGTTTGTTTTTGTTAAATTGCACTCATGAAATAGGCAAACTTTGTGAATGTCTCATTCTATGACCAGTTCTTTCCAAAATGGATCAAAATTTAATAATGGCAATGAAAGGCTTAATGTTGCAAAAAGGAAACATATAAAAAAATCAAAATCATTTATGTTTGAGAGTAGGACCGTCTCAATATTTTTGAAGACCCAAGAAAAACTATTGAATCGGAACTCAAAGACTTCAAATTTCCATTCTGGGGCCATTGGAAGTCAAATGACACAGTAAAAAAAATAAAAGCATATAAAAATAATGGCCTCCAAGTACATGTCCAATTTGTATTTGTAATAATGACCAAATCAGTTTCATAAATCATAATCCAAAGAATAAGGTATTATGGAATGAGCCTAAATGTCTAATACGGAGTATAATTATTAAAAGGTGGATTGTGGACTTGGTAATTTTACGATCAACACAAATTCGAAAATGGACTATTTTAATGCCTTTGTGGCCATTACTGCTCCTCAATTTGCATGGTGTTAACCACTATTACATCTTAGCAAAAATTGAGCCCCACACTCTCCCCAAGGCGTATTTTCAATTTGTTGGTATTTAAGCCATCTTGGACATACTTTTTTCGGGAGAGATTTACATTATGATTTTATGGAACTTAAATTAAGCTACTATATTCATTGTTTTCTCATCATGAACTTCCTGTGACACTAAGCTATATTTTGAAGGAAAAAAATTCAAAATAGACAGCTGATTATTGGTTCTTTTGATTGGTCAACCTACAACGTTTTTGTATTTTTTGGGCTTGTTTGAATCTAGATGTGATCATACAAATGGCTATCATATATTCATATTATGTAATTTGAAAAAATAAACTATAACTCAAATAGGGGAGGGAAAGGGCAAGACGAAGTGTCTATGTATTTTCTTCTAAGAATTGTTTTTTTTCCCGCTTTCCTCCATGTATGTAAATAGGGCCGGGCCCGGTTCGGGCCGGGCCCGGTTCGGGCCGGGCCCGGTTCGGGCCTTGAACCGGCCGGGCCTCGGTTCACCAAAAGGAGGGCCCGGGCCCGAACCGGCGGTGACCGGTTCCGGGCCGGTTCACCCGCCCCATTTTTTTTTTTTTTTTTTTTTGGCTTCTCTTATTTAACCCCCTACCCCTCCCCCCTCAACCCCAAACCACCTCAAATGGCCCAAAATACCTAATCCAACCCAAAAATTAAAAAAATTTCAAAAAAAAAATTAAAAAAAAAAATTATTCCGGCCCGAACCGAGCCCGAACCGGCCGGGCCGGTTCAACAAATGGAGGGCCCGGTCCCGGAACCGGCATCCACCGGGCTGGTTCGACCCGAACCGCCGGTGGACCGGGCCACCGGGCCGAGCCGGTTCACACAGTAACCGGGCCGGGCCGGACCGGTTCCGGTTCGGGCCGCCCGGCCCGAGTCCAGCCCTATATGTAAACACTAAATGGGTTGGCAAAAAATATTACATTTCTTACTATGTGTGGTTCATCTATGGTTTTTTGAAGGTTTTAGTTACTATTTTAAGTGCAAAGTTTTTATTAATGACAACATTGATCTATAGGGATTATACCAATTGTAATGAAGACCATGAATAAGATCTGTACAGTCACAAGCAAGCAAACATTCTGTTTTATCGTGGCTACTTACTGTAATCACTTATTGTGATTCATTTCGTGTGTCAGGTACGACTTTCTTATATGGTGTTTCAAATCTGTTCAAAGATCATCCAGAACGTACTAACAGATCGGTTCGAATCTTCAAAATAATTCACCCAGGTACTAAAGTTGTGTAAACTCTACAATATTGTGTATTCTATTACATATGGGAATCTCATTACTAAAGTTGTCTATATCATTGTTGTGCAGACCAAGGCACGCACCAAGCCACATGGGAGTGTTTCAAAGGAAGACAATGCTTAACAATGTCACATATTGATGGCTTTAGAATGTACTCCCTCCTAATGTGAGAGACTTCATATACCCAAAAATTGTACTCCCTCCGTCCCAATTTAGTTAGCCAATCTTGACTTTTACGGTCAAAGGTGGTACACTTTGACCAATTATTTTAACTAATATATTTATGAAAGAAATAACAATTTTATACTTTTATAATAGTATTTTCAACAAAGAACATTTTCATATAATTTTGGGAAAATGGAAACTAATAATCCAACCTTTTAGCGGTCTTCTTTCAATAATCCCACCTTTTGATTATTCATGAATAATTCAACCTTTGCACCTCATCTTCATTCACTGGTCCCTGACCGGTTGATGACCTGCTATTCCAAGCTATTTTCTTATCTTTGCAAATCATTATACTATAAATCTCATCTTTCACAAAGATAATATTTTGGAAAGATAAGAAAATAACTTGGAATAGTAGGTCATTAACCGACCAGGGACCAATGAATGAAGATGAGATGCAAATGTTGGATTATTCATGAATAATCAAAAGGTGGGATTATTGAAAGAAGACCGCTAAAAGGTTGGATTATTAGTTTCCATTTTCCCTATAATTTTTATATTATTAATATTTTTTCTATATAGATATATAATCGGTCAAAGTTAGGTACCATTGACTTGAAAA